ACAGCAACAGCTGACATCAAATCTTTGCTGAAAGATAATCATAAATAAATAACATAGTGAAAATAAATATATTGCAATGCTCAAAACAGCAGCATCCAACCGTCTCTAATCCTTGGATATTCATTCACTTCTTGTATTACTTAAAGTGGACCTATCATGCTATATTTGAACAATATATTGTAGGGCCATACCTATATAAAGTATATAAATATAGTTTTTTTTTCAAAATACCAAAAAGATCCTGCATTTTAGCCATGCCTCATTTAGCTCTATTTGCTCTTTCCAGCGCTGTTTTTGCAGGGGCTGATTCTTTGAGCNAGTAACTTAACTATAGAAAAAAAGACAGCAACAGCTGACATCAAATCTTTGCTGAGCCTAAGGATAATCATAAATAAATAACATAATACAAATAAATGTATTGCAATGCTCAAACCAGCAGCATCCAACCGTCTATAATAAAAAAAAAACATAATAAAAATAAATGTATTGCAATGCTCAAAACAGCAGCATCCAACAGTCTCTAATCTATTGTCACTGCATGCATGCACGGAGCAGCTGTAGCGCAGAGATCATCATATCATTCTGTCTTGTATTACCAACCTCTTAAGCCCAACGGACCCGGTTCCGGGGCCGAAATCACGTCATTTACAGGAAACAACGTCTAAGGAACCTTAATATTTAATAAACTATGAATATTTTTTATCCATATATCGGGAAAAAATAATTTAATTGATCTTTTTCATTTTTTTTTCAAAAAAAACACACAATGCTAAGAGTGACCCTCTGAATTAGCCCCGAGCGAAAAATGCTAACCTATCACTGCACCGAAAATCACTCCTAGCTCCTTTATTACTTATCCTAGCTGCACATCCAACACATCGTTTATGATCGTAAAGACACAGAATCTAACGGTGCCCACCTCAACACTGAAAGATACAAACTCGCAACGTTATCAACAAAAACGTACATCAAAACATGTGGCGCTAGGTAGCCTAAAACGCTAACATGGCTTACCTTGGTTTTGTCTGGTCAAAACTGGTCTTCAATGGCATTAAAACGATAAAAACGATGATGTAGTTAATCCATAGGTTAATATCCAATGTGTATCCAACTACATTTGTGTTGCTTCAAAATAGTAGGATTGCTGTATAAATAAAGTCCTGAAAACTTTAGGAAAGTCTTTATATTATTGTTGCACTACTTGAGAAATACTAATAACTATACTATGCATAACCTATATTTCAAGATGTCGTCGTTCGAGTACTGCCTCGCAGTGAGTTAACTGGTGGGGACTAAATACGTATTGAATTCTGCTTAATTAATTTGTCTACTCAACTCTTTTTCAAGTGAGGTCCATAGGTATCTGTCCTTCCCCCTTAGATTGATATGACTCTTATTTTAACAACTTGTGTTACATTTTGTACAAATAAACACGACATTTCACCGTTTAAATTGTAACCCCAGTTACCTTTAACGAGGGAAGACGTCTGACGAGGGCTGACCGGTGATCTACTTGCGTCAAACTCCGTTAAGACTAAGCGTAGGGCTCACCCGGGTCTCAACGGCGAACAACGTAGGAACAAAGGCCCCATCGCAAGACAAGACAATTAGTATGCGCAGTCTCATAATTGATTAAACATTGTATAAATATTAGATAGAATATTCTATATATATCATATATATATAGATAATATGTAAATATATATTACTTATGGCGAACTCCAACACTCTACCGCTCACTAGACAGCGGTTACCTTGCGTTAAATTTTTACATTTTAAGTTTAATTTGTGTATTTGTCGGAAGGTTTAGTATAAATGACAGATAAACGTACAATTAACCGTAGTTAATAAATTCACTACTAACTTCTTTCCCGGAAGTACAACAAAAAATTGCATTGTGGAAAAATTAATGTAAAATTAAAGTCTCCGTTATAACATATAAAATGCGGAAAATGACTTTTTGTACACTTATTACTTTAGTATATCATTGACATTAAAGGATGGGTCTATAAACTTTTTTATATAGATTTTTTTGACGGTAGCATAACTGTTTAAATATTCTTAACTGTCCTATTATAGTACCTTTATTATGACACTTGTCTCGGTAAGGCGATGACCATGAAGGATGAAAACTAGAAGCTCTGTAAATCGACTATTGAATTGAGAAAATGCATTCTTTGTGAAACTTAAGTCCTGGAAAGGTAACTTAACTTGTCTCTGTCCCTGGTCCTGTTTTACTTTGTTGTCTGTCTACAGGACTGTTTGATAATGTAAATCTCCGGAATCCTTGGATTATGTCTACATTGTCAAGGGGGGTCGTCGCGGTTGAGTACTGCGGGAAGGTTTATCACCGGACGAAGAAAACACCTTGGAAAGAAGAGGACTTTATATAAACTGTTTCTCTCAATTTACAAATTGTGAGTGTGACCAAGTTCTGAAATAGTAAACACTAGTTTGTTGAAGATGGCCGTAACGGAAAGGAGGGGGCAGCGGAGAACGTCAGAACGCTGGAGAGAACAAGTCTGGAACCACTTACTTTCTGTTTGTATTTTTGTAATTTATTTTTACTATATCAGATCAATTGTCACATTCTTTCAAAGGTTCTTACGTTGTACATTTACATTTTTATTTCTTTGGTTGTCACGTCAGGATTAAACGACGTACAAACAAACCTTATATTTTTCGTGTGTTGGTCTACCAGGTTGTTTACCAGGACTTTTCAGAACATAGGTGTTCACTTATAGTTACTTCTTGACTTTTAATTTGGAATTCAATATGTATTGGGTAACTTATAGTTTACCCGAGAACGGTGTAACATTTTACGCATGACTTTATTTCTTATTCATTAATACATCCAACAACACTACGATACACAAGTAACTGTTTCATTATAAGGAGGCACTTACAACAAACCTATATTTATGTAGTGTCGTACAGGGATTTTGTCACTCGTATTAGCTCACGTATCGTACGCTTTCGTAATTATGTAAACATATAGTAATAATATTTGTCTTTTCTGTGATATGTATGACATATAGGTCATAGATGTAGTTTTGTTTGTGGGGTGTCAACAAGCTCTTTGGAACAGAACTCCGGGACATCACACTTTTCAGTTTCCAGTTTTTACTGTAATTGTAGGTATGAGAAGTCATCTTTTAAAATTGTTTAGGTGGCACCTGTAGTAGGTTGCGGTTCTAGACGGGGTCCGGGCCCGTGTTCTAGACTCGTTCCAGCACTTGTGTTTTACGGTACCACTATTCAATTCTTATTCTGTTAAATTAGTTGAAATATTCATGAGCCTTAGTCCGTCTATTTCGAACTTGTTGACACCTGTCCTTGTTGAACCAGATAGAAAATAGAGAACAACGGTGACATGTTCTGACCGGATTCGAAGGAGTGTGTTTGGTAAAGAGGACTTTGGTAACATCGGTTACTAGGGAAAACGGTTTCAATTCCAAACAACGGCACGTCCACCCGTTCAGTCGTTACTCCGTTTACGGACTTGTAAGGTATTTCCGTCGTATGGGGTGAGAAGCCCGTTTCATCGTTAACCCTCAAGTGTATCTATTGGCGTATAGTGTACTGTATAAAAATTACTGCACATTAACCACGAACGGCCCGGGGACTTTTTACAGAAGAGGTTGACGTTGTGTCGGTAACCCCAAGGTAGTTTTTTATTTTGTGACCGGAACGTCTACGAAGGGAACCCTCTTAGTCAAAGTTTTATACAACACACCGAACGCTGCGTGTACCACAAAAATATTAAGCAGAACAAATTAAAATCTACGTCACACCTTTAAATTGTCAAAAAAATCCGGATACAGCGAAAGTCCTCGTCCGTACTGCCCTTCGTTGATCGTTTCCCCTTCTACCACCCCACTGGCCCGTCCACGACCTCACTCGTTCCACTCTACCCCTCCCTCGACCCGTCCCACGACGTCAACTCGTCCACTCTACCACCTCCTCGACCCGTCCACGACATTCAGCGGGGATGTCAGGTCGAAAACCGAGTACACTTATCTGTACGGCATTTTTGACCGGGGATAATTAAACCAGACACTCGTTATTTCTGTTCCTTTTACCGAACGCAAGACGTCGAATTCGGTGTGAATTGTTAACCACTTGAGCTTTTGTTCTTTGTTAACATTTCAGTTATTCGAACTCTGTAATTCGAGAGTAACATTTATTACACTTTATGTCTGTCGTGATTTTTCTCGTTAAATAATATGGAGACACGGTGTGTCTTCTACCTAAAACCGTACCCTAAGGTCGACTTCGGAGACTGGGACCTAACCGTCTTGCCGTCACTATTACGGTCTTAATTGTTTATATGGTGAAAACCAGAGCAGTACCAAATTCACAATACACAAAGACCAGTTTTCTTTTATTTGTGTTTGTTTTACCAATCCGTTATCCGTTCTTATTTATATTCGACGTATTGTAAATTAAAACATTTTTAGCTTAACTTATATCAAATTACGTATCAAAAAGTCCTGCAACGAATATG